GGATGTCAGTGCCAAAAGCACACTCACCCCCGACGGACGGAGGACAGACAGACTCAGACTCAGCAACAAGACTAGCAGCGTAGTCTAGACGACAGGCAGCAGCAAAGTCAACCAGCTCAGCGACAAAGGCAGACGCAGCAGCAGACTCAAACGACGGGTCAGTGACAACAGTAGCTAGCAGACGCGTGACAGTAGGGTGCTCAGCACGAAACCGGTCAGACTCAGGGTCCGCAACGACAGGCAGAGAAGACGCAGGAGGAGACGGCAGAGGAACACGCTGCGGAGGAGAGGAAGGACGACGGACTACGAGGTGGGTGTCGGGGACAGCCGGCTGACGCGCACGAGGAACACGACGACCGGAACGACCAGAACCGACAGGCGAGACAGGACGCGACGCAGGCTCACGACGCTCAGTAAGACCCCCTGTCTGCTCAGTGTAAGGAGAAGGAGCAGGCAGCGGTGAGCCAGGCTGTAACGGAAGACCAGTAGACGAAGGGAGACTAAGAACCTGGCGAAGCACAGAGTCAGGCGGTGGCTGAGACGACGGAGACGGCGGAGCGAAGAACAGGCGCGGCTGTGCAGTGACACCAGCACCAGCAGCTCCAGTACCCCCAGCAGCTCCAGCACCTCCAGCAGCTCCAGAACCCTCCGCGCCAGCTCCTCCAGGACCAGCTTTACCAACAGCAGCACCCCCAGAACCGGCACCTCCAGTCCCAGGGTTTCCAGCCTCCGTGTCTCCAGCAGCAACACCCCCAGACCCAGGGACTTCAGCAGTAGCACCCTCAGGCTCAGCACCTCCAGCCCCAGCAGCTCCAGTACCTCCAGTACGAGCACCTCCGGGACCAGCACCACTCCCTCCAGTGACGTCAGCAGAAGTACCTCCAGCGGCAGAGCCCCGAGCTCCAGAAGCGCGACCCTGACGGCGACCGTACCAATCGTGCAGCTGCTGTGAGGTGAGAGGCACACGCGGACGAAGGCGGCTACTCCAAGGAGACCGCGTAACAGCAGACTCAGAACCCTCAGCGCCAGCACCCGCAGCAGCTCCAGAACCTCCAGCGCCAGAACCCTCAGCAGCTCCAGAACCTCCAGCTCCAGCGCCACCAGCGCCAGCACCTCCAGCAGCTCCAGAACCTCCAGCTCTAGCACCCTCAGGAGCTCCAGAACCTCCAGCAGAAACAACTCCAGTAGCAGAGTCACCAGCTCCAGCGACTCCCGCAGTAGGGCCCCTAGCTCCAGCAGCGCGACCCTGACGGCCAACGTACCACTCAAGCAGCTGCTGTGGGGAGAGAGGGAGTCGACGGCGAGAGTGCAGCGGCGAGGCACCAGCGGAGCGACTACGGAGACGGCCGCTCCAGGGAGACTGCTCACCAGACGCCTCAGCGCCCCCAGGCTCAGCACCCTCAGACTCCTCACGCCCAGGCTCAGCACCTCCAGTCTCCGCACCCCCAGGCTCAGCACCCCCAGGCTCAGCACCCCCAGGCTCCGCACCCCCAGGCTCAGCACCCCCAGAAGCAGCACCCCGAGCAGGACCACCCTCAGCAGGACCTGAGTCATCAGTGACCTCAACCGGCGCAGTCAATGGAGGAGGGTCTACCTGAGACACACCTGAAGGAGCAGGACCGGGAGCGGGGAGGGGGTCTACCGGGGAAGCACCTGGAGCGAGGAAGAGCGGCGGGGGGGGGAGAGGGGCAGTGCGGTAGGGGAAGAGACGGTAAAAGGGAACCGACTCGTCGAACGTGACGTCCTGAGAGGGGAAGACACGGCGCGAGGTGGGGTGGTAAAACTGCCAACCAGGCGCGTCAGGGACAAGCCAAGGAAGACACAGGGAACAGCGCGGGCGGAGAGCTTGTCCGCGGTGGTATCGCGGACAAAGGCACGGGCACCCCAGATCCGGAAACGCGATGCATCGCCAACCTTCCCCGTCCACAACAGTGTGGGCGATGTCTCCGGCAAGGAGACACGGGGCTAGAGGTTGAGCTGATGCGCGGCGTACCGGACCGCAAATGGCCACAGAAAATGGGGGGCAGCCGCATGGATCATGGAGGTACGAGCGACCTCCATGACTAAGCCAATGCGGCGCTCAGCAACCCCATTCTGCTGCGGAGAGGCCGGAAGCGTGAACGTCTGGCGGATGCCGTGCTCCGCACAGAAGGCTGCCAAGAGGTCTGAGGAGAACTCACCACCTCTGTCAGAGTGCAGACGCAGGACAGGAAAGTCCGACTGGAACCGCTCGCGGAGCTGGAGACGAACAGCGCAGATCTAGGGGATCAAAACATCAGGGACATCCCCCTTGCGCTGCAAGGGGAAGACCGTGGTGTAACGCGTGTAGTCGTCGACGACCAGCAGGAAGTACCGCTCGTGGCCCTGTCCACGGACGCGGGCTGGGCCCCACACGTCCAGGTGGAGAGTCTGCAGGGGAGCCTCTGTGGGAGGGAACGAGGAGGAGTGAGGAGCGGCGCACTGCCGCCCCTCGACACAGGGAAGACATGGAGGAGCAGGCGAGGGTGGGAGGGGAGGGAGAACCCTGGGAAGACCAGAGAAAAGGACACGGCGGTGCATGCTACGAAGGCGCTGCACCGAGGGGTGACCAAGGCGGTGGTGCCAAAGGAGGGTCTGGTGCGACAAAGCGCGACACGAGCAGGGGGCCGCTAGCTGACCTGACGCAGACGCAGACGCAGCGACCTGAGGGGACACAGTAGTCAGTGTGTACAGACTCGAGCCAGGCGCACGGGTAAACGTGGCCAGGTGCCTGCCCGTCCGGGAGCACGTACAGTAGGTCACGCGCTGACATCCAGGAGTGAACTGGTCAATCCACTGGTCCTGGAGGTCAGCACCACTCACCAAGTTCGTAGAGAACGAGGGGAGGTGAAGACCTGACAGGGAGCCAGACGGGACCGCCGGACACGGCAGGACCGTGGAGGAGTGCGCAAGGACTGGACCACCAGAGGGGTCTGCCAGGGAGACTGGAACCGGCCGGCTGAGCGGCGTGAGGGTGGTGCTGTCGCGAAAGAAGGAGCGGGAAGCACCTGAGTCAAGTGTGAAGGTGTACAAGGCCTCAGCAGGCGCAGTACCAGAGAGAGCAGACTCACCAGCACCTGGAGCAGCAGCCTCACCAGCACCCAGAGCAGGAGACGCACTAGCACCTAGAGCAGCAGCCTCACCAGCACCTAGAGCAGGAGACGCACGAGCACCTAGGGCAGCAGCCTCACCAGCACCGAGAGCAGCAGGCTCTATACCTGGGTCAGGCGGTACGCACAGGTAACAGGCACGGTCAGCACTAGTAGGCAATGCATACATGGCAGTGAGAATAGTATCATAGTCAAGAGCAAATATATCTACCCTCTGCCCAAGCAGCTCCACCCAGTCGGGGAGCTCAGCCTCGTCGCCAAACTCGGTACGCCAGGCGTCGCTCAGACGGGCGAAGCAGCGGGACTGTGTGTGACTAAGCGTCCCGCCAGCCTGACCAGTCCGATCACCTGTGCGAATGACGTACGGGCAGCGAACGGTACTCAAAGACCCTCTACTCTGAGCGTACCACTCACGAAGCTGCTGGGGCGTAAGTGTCTCGCGCGGACGCCGCTGCAGCTGCAGCTGGCCACTGCCAGACGCTCCCGACTGACCAGCTCCAGGGCGACAGCCACGACGGCTACCGCCACAACCCCAACTAGCGTACCACTCACGAAGCTGCTGGGGCGTGAGAGACTCGCGCGGACGTCGCTGGAGCTGCATCTGGCCACCGCCAGTAGCAGCAGTAGCAGTGGTAGTGGCAGTAGTCGCAGCAGCAGCGCGGGCAGGGCAGGCACGACAGGCAGGTAGGCAGGCAGGCAGGCAGGCAGACAGGCAGGCAGGCAGGCAGGCTGGCAGGCAGGCAGTGCGCTAACAAGGCAGGTGCTCACCAGTGGCGGGCAGAGCAGGCGCTCGCCGGGCGAGCAGGGCCGGCGCTCGGCTGCACGGGGTCCAGGGGCGGCGTCGCGGGTCCAGGGGCGGCGTCGTGGGGTCCAGGGGCGGCTGCACGGAGTCCAGGGGCGGCTGCACCAGGGGCGGCTGCTTCAGGGGCCAGGGGCGGCTGCTCTGGGTCCAGGGGCGGTTGCTCGAGGGTCCAGGGGCGGCTGCACCAGGGGCGGCTGCTGCAGGGGCCAGGGGCGGCTGCTCAGGGTCCAGGGGCAGCTGCTCGAGGGGCGGCTGCACCAGGGGCGGCTGCTGTAGGAGCCAGGGGCGGCTGCTCTGGGTCCAGGGGCGGCTGCTCGAGGGTCCAGGGGCGGCTGCACCAGGGGCGGCTGCTTCAGGGGCCAGGGGCGGCTGCTCTGGGTCCAGGGGCGGCTGCTCGAGGGTCCAGGGGCGGCGTTGGGGCAGGGCGGGGCCGCATCGGCTGTCTGAGCGCGGCACGAGGGCCGTAGGGGTGCGCGAGGGCGGGGCCGAGCCGCGCGCTGCCAAAAAGGGGCGACGCGGCGGGCAGGGAAGGGCGGCTCGCGGGCCCTACAGGTGCGCGACGGGCCAGGCGGGGTCGCGCGCTGCCAGCAGGGCAGCGCGACTGGCTCCCGTGGGCGGCGCGAAGGCCCTAAGGCGACGCGACGGGCGGGGCCGGGCCCTAGGGCGGCGTGACGAGAAAAAAGAATTAAACGCGCGTCGCGCGGCCAGCAGGGCGGCGCGACGGGTGGGGCAGCTCGACAGGCAGGGGAAACCCTAAAACATGAGAGTTAACGGTGGGCCCACTAGGAAATTAGGTCCTAAGACCTAAGTGCTCTTAATACCATGTTAGAGTAGGTTGGTAGGGATGGTTGCACTATCGAGAAAGTTGGTTGCGGTGTATGCAGCCCCAGAAGCACAAGCAACGGTTTCCATTCCACGGTTTTGCCCTGAGGAAAGCATGCAGTTACACGGTACTAGACCCGTTTTCATGTTTTGTAATGGTGATATACTGTACCACATTTTTTACAGCGATAGACCATGAATCTTGTTGTGCACAGCATGGGATCTAGACCCGCAGAGGAAGACAGAAGCTACAGGGTGTCAAGGATGGTCTTGTGAGCGCGCACGCATGCAGTGGTGCAGTAGTTGAAGGCGAGGCGGGAGAAGGGCGTCCTGCCCGCCAGCGATGCACCACACGAGTCGCAGCAGCTGCCTGCAGCAGTGGTGGCGGGGGAGGCATGGTGGGCGGTGGCAGGCGCAGCGGTGCCCGCGGCCAGCTGCTGCACACGCCTCTCTGCCGCTGCTGCCCTCTCCTCCCTCTCCCTCGCCCTCCTCTGCTCCTCCTGCCCACCACACAGCACAGCACAGATACGGTACATGCGTGCAGGCATGTCAACAAGCCACGGAGCAACATCGTCAGCATTTGCATGAGTGGGTGCAGGAGGCTTGAGCAGGCAGTGGTTAGACCAAGGGGACAGGATGACTGGAGGCACGTGCAGGTGAGTGGAGGCACGTGCAGGTGCAGCACATGGAGGGCGAAGGGAAGCAGGCAGAGAGGGAGAGGAGGGCAGCATAGCAGCATGCGCCTTACTGTCTCTGCAGGCGATGGTGTCGGCGATGGCGCTGGTGGCGCGCTCTCGTGGAGGGCTTGCTGCTGCTCGGGGCACGGGGTTGGTGCGGGGGGGAGTTGAGGGGCGAGGCACGGTTGCACACTCAGAGATGCGTTGCAAGGACGGGAGAGAGGGGCACGGATGGAGATCGAGGAAGGAAGAGAAACAGGAATGAGGCATAAGGGAGGGAGGAGTTCACATGAACATGGTTGTGCTCTTGATTAAGGAGGTTGCGGCAGTGCGATGAGAGCAAGGGGCAGTGCGATGAGAGCAAGGGGCAGGCTGATAGCAGCAGTAGCGGGTGGTGCTGCAAGACATGCTTTGATGAATGAGGCCCTCGCTTGCCACCAGATGTGCCACAACCCAGCACAAGGAGCAACCCAGCACAAGGAGCAACCCAGCGCAAGGAGCAACCCAGCACAAGGAGCAACCCAGCACAAGGAGCAACCCAGCACAAGGAGCAACCCAGCACAAGGAGCAACCCAGCACAAGGAGCAACCCAGCACAAGGAGCAACCCAGCACAAGGAGCAACCCAGCACAAGGAGCAACCCAGCACAAGGAGCAACGCAGCCCAGCACAAGGAGCAACCCAGCACAAGGAGCAACCCAGCACAAGGAGCAACCCAGCACAAGGAGCAACCCAGCACAAGGAGCAACCCAGCACAAGGAGCAACCCAGCACAAGGAGCAACCCAGCACAAGGAGCAACCCAGCACAAGGAGCAACCCAGCACAAGGAGCAACCCAGCACAAGGAGCAACCCAGCACAAGGAGCAACCCAGCACAAGGAGCAACCCAGCACAAGGAGCAACCCAGCACAAGGAGCAACCCAGCACAAGGAGCAACCCAGCACAAGGAGCAACCCAGCACAAGGAGCAACCCAGCACAAGGAGCAACCCAGCACAAGGAGCAACCCAGCACAAGGAGCAACCCAGCACAAGGAGCAACCCAGCACAAGGAGCAACCCAGCACAAGGTGTTAAAATATATATTGTGTAGCATGCCAACACATGTGACTGTACACCAATTGTGGTGTACAGTTGGGTTGGGACTACACCCAACTTTGGGTGTAGTCTTGCACTTTGGGGTGCCAATCCACCCAATTGTGGTGGAGCCCCCAAATGCAACCCTCTTGACTTGTGGGTACCTCACTTCCCACAATTGAGGTTACCCCAAGCCAAGTGGGCCTAGGGTTGCCTCACTTCTACAAAGTGTGGGCAACCCAACCCACTTGACCTATGGTTCCCTCACTTCCCCAAGTGAGGTCAACCCAACCTATGGTCACTTTCATCCTTCCCTTCCAACCTTCCCTTCCAACTATGTATGCTAGGTTGTTCCTCTAATCTGATCACTTGTTCAATTTGCTACTTTCACATGGTATAGAGCTACTTGTTCCTAGGCCTTACCTCTCCCTCCCTTCAGTTTTTTTTTTTCCCATGGGCCCACCCCACAGCTACAAACCCTTTCCTACGCGTGGCTCAACTAGCCATCACTAGCATACTCTCGCCGCGACCTACGCCGTCGCCGCCGTTCCCCCCCCCTCCCGCCGCGATTACGCCTTCCTCGCCTGCGGATTCCACCGCCGCGAGCGCAACGCCGCTGTCCCCTCCTCCCCCCCGCCGCGACCCCCTGTCGCCGCCTCCCCTTCTCGCCGCCGCGCCTGATTCGGCGCCGCCTGCGCATCCTGCCGCCGCGACGCCTCGTCGCCGCCTGCCCGCTGCCCGTCCCTCCGCCGCGACGTCACGTCGCCGCGTTCCCGCCGCCGCGCCTGCTACGGCGCCGCCTGCGCATCCTGCCGCCGCGACGCCTCGTCGCCGCCTGCCCGTCCCTCCGCCGCGACGTCTCGTCGCCGCGTTCCCGCCGCCGCGCCTGCTTCGGCGCCGCCTGCGCATCCTGCCGCCGCGACGCCTCGTCGCCGCCTGCCCGTCCCTCCGCCGCGACGTCTCGTCGCCGCGTTCCCGCCGCCGCGCCTGCTACGGCGCCGCCTGCGCATCCTGCCGCCGCGACACCTCGTCGCCGCCTGCCCGTCCCTCCGCCGCGACGTCTCGTCGCCGCGTTCCCGCCGCCGCGCCTGCTTCGGCGCCGCCTGCGCATCCCGCCGCCGCGACGCCTCGTCGCCGCCTGCCCGTCCCTCCGCCGCGACGTCACGTCGCCGCCTCCCCTTCCCGCCGCCGCGCCTGCTTCGGCGCCGTCTGCCCGTCCCGCCGCCGCGACAGCTCGTCGCCCCCTGCCCGTCCCGCCGCCGCGACCTAACATCGCCGCCTGCGCATTCCGCCGCCGCGACTGCTCGTCGTCACCCTCCCCGCCCCCACCCCCCCCCCCCCCCCCCCCCCCCCCCCCCCCCCGCCGCGATTTCGCATTGCCGCCTCCCCTCCCACCGCCGCACCTGCTTCCGCGTCACCCACGCATCTCGCTGCCCCTTCTGCATCGCCACCCTCCCGCAATTTCCCCCGCCGCAACTGCAACATCGTCGCCCCGCGGTTCCCGTTAACGCCACTGCGCCGCCGCCGCCCTACCGCCGCGACTGCTTCGGCGCCGCCTGCCCATCCTCCACCGCGACCGCGCCATCCCCGCCCACACTTCCTGCCGCCGTGACTGCCCCGTCGCCGCCTGCAGATTCAGCCGCAACTGCACCCTCCCTTCCTCCTCTCCCTACTCCTCTCCCCCCCCCTCCCCCTCCCCCTGCGCCCCTCGTTGCCGCGGCCTGCCTGCCGCCGCCGTCCCTCGTTTCGCCGCCGCGGCCCTTCCGCCGTCGCCTGCGCCCCTCGTCGTCGCGGCCTGCTCGCCGCCGCCGCCCCCGACTTTGCCACCGCCTCCCCTTCCCGCCGCCGCACGTTCGCACAGCCGCCTGCGCCCTTGTCACCGTCGCTCCCTGCACCTTGAACGCCTCTGCCCTCCACCGCTGTCTCCCTCCTTTACCCCCCCCCCCCCCCCCCCCTCCCTCCTCCTGCCAGCGGCAGCAGCAGCGGCAGCAGGGGAAGTGCAGCAGCCTCCGCAGCAGCAACTTCACCCTTGGCCGCCGCGGGTCCACCCGCCGTCGCCCATCATGACTGCTACCCCCCCTGCCCCTCTCCCCCCTCCTCACTGGAGCAGTGTTACTCCTCGCCCCTCCCTTCTCAACACTCCGACCCTCCACTCCTCCCCCCCCCCTTATCTCCGCCTGCTCACCCCCTCCCCCCCTCCCCATCTGCGGCGTTTCCAGCAGCTCCAGCATCAGCAGCAGCAGGACTTCCAGCAGCGGCAGCAACCACAATTTCTCCAGCCGCACCCCCCACATCTCCTCCAGCCGCGGCAATCGCAGCAGCAGCAGTTCTTCCAACACCAACAGCAGCCGCAATCTCTCCAGCCTCACCCGCCACAGTTTCTCCATCCCCAGCAGCAGCAGTCCTTCCAGCCGCAGCAGCGGCAGTCCTTCCAGCAGCAGCAGCTGCCACAGTTCCTTCCACCGCAGCAGCAGCAGTCCTTCCTGCAGCAGCAGCAGCCACAGTCTCTTCAGCCGCAGCAGCAGCAGTGCTTCCAGCAGCAGCAGCTGCCACAGTTCCTTCCGCCGCAGCAGCAGCAGTCCTTCCAGCAGCAGCGGCAGCCACAGTTTCTTCAGCCGCAGCAGCAGCAGTGCTTCCAGCAGCAGCACCAGCCACAGTTCTCTCCATCCGCAGCAGCAGCAGTGCTTCCAGCAGCAGCAGCCACCACAATCTCTCCAGCCGCAGCAACCGCGGCAGCATCGGCGGTGCTTCCAGCAGCAGCAGCAGCCCAATCTCTCCAGCCGCAACCGTCACAGTCTCTCCCACCGCAGCAGCCGCAGCAGCAACAGTACTTACAGCAGCAGCACCCGCCGCTCTCTCCCTCTTCTATCCATGAAACAACTCTCCAGTACTCTGTGTTCCCTCCCTCTCCTTCCCCCCCCACCCTGGACTTTGTCCTTGACAGTGGGGCCACCGAAACCGCACTAAAAGACGCTGGCACCCTCACCCCCCTTCCACTTCCCACCCAGGTTCATGGTGCCGACTCCAGCTTTTCCATCCCCTGCACTCACCTCTCCACCCTTCCTTGCACCGCCTTCCCATCCGGTACAGTCACCGGTCTCCACATCCCTACCCTTCGCAATAACCTCCTCTCCCACCGTGAACTCCAAGGCGTTGGCATTACCGCCATATACCCTGGCTTTGCTTCCTACTGCGATCTCTACCACACCGCCTCTGGTCGTTTCCTCCTGCGCATTCCCCTTTGCCCTCGCACTCGCCTTTACACGCTCCGCACACCCCGTCCCTCCTTTTGTCACGTCACCACTCGTGCTGGTACTTCCACCGGTCCCCTTCTCCCTCCCCCTCACCCTCCCCCTCCCCCTCCTCCGATATCCTCCTCCTCTACTCCATCCGCCTCCTCCTCCCCCCCCAACTTTTCCCCCACCCCATCCCCCTCCTCCTCTACTGCCCTCTCCCATCCTGCAGTGCTCCTACATCACAGACTCGGCCATCCCAACTTCGCCGCACTTCGCTCCACCGTCACCTCTCGCCTCCTTAACAGCCTTCCTCCCACCTTACCTCCCCTCCCTTCCTCCCCTGCTCCCCCATGCCCATCATGCATTCATGGCAAGCTCAAACAGTCCCCCCATCACAGTCATCCCACCTTCGCTCCCGCCCCCATTGACCTTGTTCACATGGATCTCTGGGGCCCTTATCCCATCCGCTCCCGTCAAGTGCACAGGTACATGCTCGTGCTCGTCGACGACCACAGTCGGTACTCCACCGTCTTCTTTCTTCACACGAAAGACCAGGTGCCGGCTGTGGTCATCAACTGGGCTGAGCAGTGCCGCAACCACTTCAAACGTTCCATAGGCCGCCTTCACTCTGACGGTGGGGGTGAGTTCATCAATCATACTCTCTCCACTTACTGCAAAACATACGGCATTCAGCAGACCACCACCCTTCCCCACTCCCCTCAGCAAAACGGCATCGCTGAGAGTCGCATCCGTGAGATCACCAAGATTGCGCGCTGCCTCATTGCTCACGCCTCCACCCCTCCCTCCCTCTGGAGCTATGCCCTCATTCATGCCGCCCTCCTCCTCAATCTCCGCTCCCACCCTCAGCATCCCTCCTCCTCCCCCACAGAACTCTGGTCAAAGGCCAAGCCTGACGCCGCAGGCCTTCGTGTTTGGGGCTGCAAGGCGTTCGTCCTCATTCCACCGGCCGACCGCTCCCGCGCTGCTGGCAAGCTCGCTCCTCGCGCTCTGGAGTGCGTCTACCTTGGGCACAATCGTGATTCCCCAGGCTACCTATTCCTCCACCCTCCCACCAATCGCCTCATCCGCAGCATTGACGTCGTCTTCGACGAGTCCACTCCCTACTACTCCACCCCTCCTCCTGACCCCCTCCCTCCTCCCACTCGCCCCCTCGCTTGGACCGACACCATCCTCCCGCCTCTTATCCCTCCAGCGCCTCTCCTCCCACCTGTCGCCGCCCCACTCCTGCCTTCCTCCTCTGCCGACGTCTACGACCCTGCCGCACCCGCCTCCCCCGCTCACTCAGCTGCACCCCCTCCCCCCTCTCCCTCCTCCTCTCATTCTCCTCCTTTCCAGCAGCCGGATCAGCAACAGCAGGGGCAGCAGCAGCAGCAGCAGCCGGATCAGCAACAGCAGGGGCAGCAGCAGCACCAGCAGCAGCAGCAGCAGCAGCAGCGGGAGCAACACCAGCAACGGCAGCAGGGGCAGCAGCAGCAGCAGCCGGGGCAGCAGCAGCAGCAGCAGCAGCAGCAGCAGCAGCAGCAGCAGCAGCAGCAGCAGCAGCAGCAGCAGCAGCCGGAGCAGCAGCAGCAGCAGCAGCAGCAGCAGCCGGGGCAGCCGCATCAGCAGCAGCCGGGACAGCAGCAGCAGCAGCAGCATCAGCAGCAGCAGCACCAGCAGCAGCAGCGGCGCCGTGCCACTTCCCGCTCCTCCCCCTTCCTCCTCCCTTACATCCATACCCGCTCGGTGGACAAAATCCTTGGGGCTCCTCCTCCTGCCTCCATTCAGCTCCTTGAGGACTCCCATGAGGAGTTCCTCAACATTCGGGAGCACACTCCATTCCTTGCCGCCCTCTACCTTGACTTCCTGGGCTTTCCTGTCCTTGGCGCCACTACTACCCCCACCATCTTCACTCCCTCCACCTTCCAGGAAGCCATCACCTGCCCTGATGCGGATAAATGGATAGCAGCGATCTTCCTGGAGTGTGAGGCTTTCATTCGCAACGACTCCTTTGTCGATGTCCCCCTCCCTGCTGGCGCTAATCTCGTTGACGGCAAATGGGTCTTTCGGGTGAAGCAGCTGCCGGGCGAGGAACCAGTGTACAAGGCCCGCTACTGCGCCAAGGGGTTCACGCAGACTTGGGCTGAGGACTACTGGTTCACCTACGCCCCCACCGCCAAACCACCCACCCTTCGCGCCGCCATGGACATTGGTGCACGTGACGACATGGAAATCGACTCCATGGACGTCTCCAATGCGTTCCTGCAGGGCGACCTGCATGAGCGCATTTTCCTCCGGCGACCCCCCGGGTTCCACGCAGCCTTTCCTGAGAACACTGTCTGGCAGCTGCGTCGCCCCGTCTACGGCTTGAAGCAGGCACCACGTGAGTGGCATGCGAAGCTGGCTGCCACCTTGGGGTCCCTCGGCTTCTCTGCTTCCCACTCCGACGCCAGCCTCTTCATCCGCTCCTCCCCCCGCCGCTTCTTCATTCTGGTATATGTCGACGACATGATCCTGCTCTCTGACACCAAGGCCGACATGGAGCAGGTGAAGCTGTCCCTGCAGCAGCGGCTCAAGTGCAAGGACCTTGGCGCCCTCACTCACTACCTCGGCATGACCATCACGCGCAACCGCCCTGCTCGCACAATCACCCTCTCCCAGTCCCATTACATCGGCCAGGTCTTGGAGAAGTTCGACATGGCGCAAGCCAAGCCTGTTTCCACCCCGCTCCCCTTCGGTCACCAACTCGCTCCACCCACCTCCCCCACCTCCTCCCCCCACCCCTATGCCGAGCTCGTTGGGTCCTTGATGTACGCAATGATGTGCACCCGCCCCGACCTCGCCTACCCCATCAGCGTGCTCGCTCGCTTTGTCGGCACCGGTCGTCACTCTGAGGAGCACTGGAAAGCTGCCAAGCGGGTCCTCCGCTACCTTCGCGGGACCAGGGACCTTGCCCTCACCCTCGGCGGCCCTTCCCGTCCCCTTCTCTCGGGCTTCAGTGACTCCTCATGGGCTGACACGCAGCCGGACCGCCGCTCCTCCCAGGGCTACGGCTTCACCCTTGGCAGCGGCCTCATCAGCTGGCGCTCCACCCGCTCCTCCGCCATCTCTCTCTCCACCTGCGAAGCCGAGCTCTACGCTGGCACCATGGCCGCCCAGGAGTCGCGCTGGCTCTGCTTCCTTCTTGCGGAGCTTGGCGCCCCCCAGACGTGCCCCACTCTCTGGTGCGACAACGCCAGCACCATCCATCTCACTTAGGACCCCGTCTATCACGCCCGCTCCAAGCACATCGAACTCCGCTACTTCTTCGTTCGCGAGCTCGTCCAGAAGGGCCTCATTGCCGTTCGCAAGATTGCAACCGAGGCCAACTTGGCCGACATCTTCACTAAGGCCCTCCTTCGCCCCGCGCACTCTGCCTTCCTCCGCCTCATTGGCCTTGCTCGCCCGGGCGCCCCTTGATTCAGGGGTTGTTCTCTTCTTGTGTTAGCATGCTAAGGGGTTGTGTTAAAATATATATTGTGTAGCATGCCAACACATGTGACTGTACACCAATTGTGGTGTACAGTTGGGTTGGGACTACACCCAAATTTGGGTGTAGTCTTGCACTTTGGGGTGCCAATCCACCCAATTGTGGTGGAGCCCCCAAATGCAACCCTCTTGACTTGTGGGTACCTCACTTCCCACAATTGAGGTTACCCCAAGCCAAGTGGGCCTAGGGTTGCCTCACTTCTACAAAGTGTGGGCAACCCAACCCACTTGACCTATGGTTCCCTCACTTCCCCAAGTGAGGTCAACCCAACCTATGGTCACTTTCATCCTTCCCTTCCAACCTTCCCTTCCAACTATGTATGCTAGGTTGTTCCTCTAATCTGATCACTTGTTCAATTTGCTACTTTCACACAAGGAGCAACCCAGCACAAGGAGCAACCCAGCACAAGGAGCAACCCAGCACAAGGAGCAACCCAGCACAAGGAGCAACCCAGCACAAGGAGCAACGCAACCCAGCACGAGGAGCAACCCAGCACAAGGAGCAACCCAGCACAAGGAGCAACCCAGCACAAGGAGCAACGCAGCACAAGGAGCAACCCAGCACAAGGAGCAACCCAGCACAAGGAGCAACCCAGCACAAGGAGCAACGCAACCCAGCACAAGGAGCAACCCAGCACAAGGAGCAACCCAGCACAAGGAGCAACCCAGCACAAGGAGCAACCCAGCACAAGGAGCAACCCAGCACAAGGAGCAACCCAGCACAAGGAGCAACCCAGCACAAGGAGCAACCCAGCACAAGGAGCAACCCAGCACAAGGAGCAACCCAGCACAAGGAGCAACCCAGCACAAGGAGCAACCCAGCACAAGGAGCAACCCAGCACAAGGAGCAACCCAGCACAAGGAGCAACCCAGCACAAGGAGCAACCCAGCACAAGGAGCAACCCAGCACAAGGAGCAACCCAGCACAAGGAGCAACCCAGCACAAGGAGCAACCCAGCACAAGGAGCAACCCAGCACAAGGAGCAACCCAGCACAAGGAGCAACCCAGCACAAGGAGCAACCCAGCACAAGGAGCAACCCAGCACAAGGAGCAACCCAGCACAAGGAGCAACCCAGCACAAGGAGCAACCCAGCACAAGGAGCAACCCAGCACAAGGAGCAACCCAGCACAAGGAGCAACCCAGCACAAGGAGCAACCCAGCACAAGGAGCAACCCAGCACAAGGAGCAACCCAGCACAAGGAGCAACGCAACCCAGCACACCATCTAGACAGCCTAGACAGTGTGTGATTCAGGCCACTAAGCATTCCCTCCCTCCGCATCCCCACCTTGCGCTCTCTCTCCTCCTGCTTCTTCCTCTGCCTCCTCTCCTTCTCCTTTGCCTTCTTCTTTGCTTCCTTCTCCGCCTGCCATCCTCCCCACGTGCACCAAGCAAGGCAGCACGAAGGGGAAATGCAGGGACGAAGGGAGAAGGTGCTGTCCAATGAGAGCGAGGCCGATGCATCATGACATGCGGCGAGCAGTGCATGGCATGGCGCATGGCGCATGGGGGATGGGGTATGGGGTATGGGGCATAGGGCATGGGGTATGGGGTATGGGGCTTGGGCATGGGGTATGGGGTATGGGGCATGTGGCATGTGGGGCATGTGGCATGGGGCATGGGGTATGGGGTATGGGATATGGGGTATGGGGCATGGGGCATGGGGCATGTGGCATGTGGCATGGGGTATGGGGTATGGGGCATGTGGCATGGGGTATGGGATATGGGGCATAAGGCATGGGCTATGGGTCATGGGGCATGGTACGGGGTACGGGGCATGGGGTATGGGGTACGGGGCACGAGGCATAGGGTCTGGGGTATGGGGCATGGGGTATGGAGTATGGGGCATGAGGCATGGGGAATGGGGTATGGGGCATGGGGCATGGGACATGGCATGGGGCATGGGGTGTGCCGGCAGCATGACACACCACGGTCATCTTAGCAGGGCACTGAGTCTAGCCTATCTAAGCTCACTTGAGCTCAACTTACTCTAAGTAAAGCCGAGGTTGTATCTGGACAAGTCCATAGTCTCGTTTGTCTGCTCTATATTCCAGCGACATCTCGCCCGTAACCTACCTGGCTTCCAAGCACACTCTTGCAAGCTCACCCACCGCACTCATCTCCTCTCATTCCTCTCACCCACCGCACTCATCTCCTCTCATTCCTCTCACCCACCGCACTCATCTCCTCTCATTCCTCTCCCCCACCGCACTCATCTCCTCTCATTCCTCTCCCCCACCGCACTCATCTCCTCTCATTCCTCTCCCCCACCGCACTCATCTCCTCTCATTCCTCTCCCCCACCGCACTCATCTCCTCTCATTCCTCTCCCCCAACGCACTCATCTCCTCTCATTCCTCTCCCCCACCGCACTCATCTCCTCTCATTCCTCTCCCCCACCGCGCTCATCTCCTCTCATCCCTCTCCCCAAGGTCCCCTCCCACCTGGCGGGCGGCCTGGGACGCCTGGAGCTCGTGAGTGAGGGCGCTGGGCACGGCAGCGGCGTGCCAGTCCCACTGCTCTGCGTGGGCTGCCATGTGGCGGCGGAAGGCGTCCCGCGTGGCCTTGTTGGCCGCCACTGCATACGCCACTCGCCCCCTGCCGTCCCGCTCCGTGGGGTCGCTGCCCTCCTGCAGCAGCCGCGCCACCTCCGCGTGGTTGCCTGCTTGAGGGAGAGCAGCGAGAGAGAGGACATATGAGTGCATGGCGTGGGGTGAGAGAGAGCGACCAGGAAAGCAGCAAAACAGAAGAGCACACCCAGCGTTGTGCCATTGGTGCTGGGACGAAAGGTGTTGTGAGAATGGTGTGAACCGTGCGAAACATCCTTGAAGCAACCCTGTGAATCACGACTCTCACCACACCCGCTGCGCCCACCATCCACCCACCTGCAGCAGCTGCCACATGCAGTGCCGTCCTCACCCACCCTTGCCCCGCTGCCTCCTTCTCCTCCACCTCCCCTCCACTGGTCCCACTCGCCTCTCCTCTCTCCTCCCCTTCCCTATCTCCCTTCAACTCCACATCCCCATCGCCCTCCCTCCCAGTGCCCCGCAACCCTCCCTCCACCTCCCTCTCACCCATCTGCACCCCACCCTCTCCCTTGCTGCGCTCTGCCCCCTTCTCCCCCCCACTCACTGGCGCCACCCCCTTGCCAGTCACAGCCAGCTCTCCCCCCTCCTCACACCCCACCCCCGCCGCCCTGCCCTCGCCCCCCTCGGCCCCCTGCGCCCCCCCCAGCACGTGCACGTGTGCCAGCGAGTGCGCCACGCGCAGCGCCTCCTTCACGGTGGGGCGGCGCACGGGGAAGGGCACTCTCCGCACGCGCGGGTCGCGCGCCTGCAGCAGCACTGCCCCCGCCCCCCCTGTGCCCCGACTAGCTTGGGCCTCTGCCGCGGTGCCGAAGAGTGCAGCGCGGTTGGGTGCGGTGGCGTGCACGAAGATGAACTGCGCTTGAGCCAGGTAGGGCTGCCAGCGCTGCAGCAGGGCTCGTATGTCCTGCGAGCCATGGGGGGGACGAGGAGTTGGGGGAGAGGACGAATAGAGGCAGCGGGAACAAAACAAGGCACGAGGGTAAGGGTAGGAAAGAAAGAACAGGAGACATGGGAAAGGGACAGGGATGGAGGGGAAGGCAAGCAAAGGAGAGGAAAGGCAGAAGGGCTGATACATGAAGGGGGCACGTTGGTAGAAGGCAAAGAGGCATTCAGCAAGCAACGCAAGAACGAATGCGTTAACCGGGTGAGCTCCAGCAGCCATGGGCAGGCAAGGCGACAGCCATCAACTCGTCACAGCATCGCCCCCTCATCCCACCCCACCTTGATGAGCGCCGCCTCGTTGTAGCGCCTCAGGCTCGCCCCCGCTGACTGCGGCGCCCTGCCCGCGCCGTCCCTCGTTGCCTGCCGCCCCCCCGCCTTGGCTCGCACCACATACCTGATGGGGGGCCGGGCGGGCATGGGCGGGCAGCGGTGCACACGGGCGGACATGGGTGGAGAGGGGAGGGGGAGTGGGGTGCAGGGAGAGCTGCAGCCACGGCAGCCATGGCCAGCTCCCCACCAGTCCACGTCACACGGCTCCTCCTCCCCCTCGCAGTGCCCCCACACGTCATTCCCCCATGCTCCCACTGTGACGTCCAACCCCACCACCCATGCATGTGTGCCCCACCACCCATGCATGTGTGCCCCACCACCCATGCATGTGTGCCCCACCACCCATGCATGTGTGCCCCACCACCCATGCATGTGTGCCCCACCACCCATGCATGTGTGCCCCACCACCCATGCATGTGTGCCACACACACTTCCCCTCCCTCCCCCCTCTCCTCCATTCCTCCTCCCCCTCCCTGCACGCACCGGTGGAAGGAGCGGTGGGCGAGCACGGCGCCGTGGGAGGCAGCGTCCACCACCACGGCGGCGAAGTGCCCCCCCGAGCTCAGCACCACCACCCACACGCGCTCCCCCCCCCACCCCCCGCCGCCCCTCTCCTGCCGCCCCGACTTCACCACCAGCGTGCCTCCTCTCCCCGCCTCCACCACCTGTGCTGCACCCCCGCCTGCCTTGCCCCTCGCTGAATCCACCCCCCCACCCCCCCTGCTCCTTCCCCCATCCTTTTCCCCAGCCTCCGCACTCCCCTCCCCCCCTCCTCTGAATGCTCCCCCGTCCGCCCCCCCTGCGCCCTCCCCCAGCGCCACGAGCGCCTGCAGCAGGTCCGCGCCCTCCTCTGGGGGGGCAGGGGAGGACGGGGAAGGAGGGGGAGCAAGGGGGAAGGTGGGCACAGCAGGGAACAGTGGAGGTGGGAGGTGAATACCTGGGGGGAAGAGCGCACCTGGGGGGAAGAGCGCACCTGGAGGGAAGAGCGCACCTGGAGGGAAGAGCGCACTTGGGGGGAAGAGCGCACCTGGGGGGAAAAGCGCACCTGGAGGGAAGAGCGCACCTGGAGGGAAGAGCGCACTTGGGGGGAAGAGCGCACCTGGGGGGAAGAGCGCACCTGGGGGGAAGAGCGCAGCTGGGGGGAAGAGCGCACCTGGAGGGAAGAGCGCACCTGGGGGGAAGAGCGCACCTGGGGGGAAGAGCGCACCTGGGGGGAAGAGGGCACCTGGGGGGAAGAGCGCACCTGGAGGGAAGAGCGCACCTGGAGGGAAGAGCGCACCTGGGGGGAAGAGCGCACCTGGGGGGAAGAGCGCACCTGGGGGGAAGAGCGCACCTGGAGGGAAGAGCGCACCTGGAGGGAAGAGCGCACCTGGGGGGAAGAGCGCACCTGGGGGGAAGAGCGCACCTGGGGGGAAGAGCGCACCTGGGGGGAAGAGCGCACCTGGGGGGAAGAGCGCACCTGGGGGGAAGAGCGCACCTGGGGGGAAGAGCGCACCTGGGGGGAAGAGCGCACCTGGGGGGAAGAGCGCACCTGGGGGGAAGAGCGCACCTGGGGGGAAGAGCGCACCTGGGGGGAAGAGCGCACCTGGAGGGAAGAGCGCACCTGGCGGGAAGAGCGCACCTGGGGGGAAGAGCGCACCTGGGGGGAAGAGCGCACCTGGGGGGAAGAGCGCACCTGGGGGGAAGAGCGCACCTGGGGGGAAGAGCGCACTTGGGGGGAAGAGCGCACCTGGGGGGAAGAGCGCACCTGGGGGGAAGAGCGCACCTGGGGGGAAGAGCGCACCTGGGGGGAAGAGCGCACCTGGGGGGAAGAGCGCACCTGGGGGGAAGAGCGCACCTGGGGGGAAGAGCGCACCTGGGGGGAAGAGCGCACCTGGGGGAAGAGCGCACCTGGGGGGAAGAGCGCACCTGGGGGGAAGAGCGCACCTGGGGGGAAGAGCGCACCTGGGGGGAAGAGCGCACCTGGGGGGAAGAGCGCACCTGGGGGGAAGAGCGCACCTGGGGGAAGAGCGCACCTGGGGGGAAGAGCGCACCTGGAGGGAAGAGCGCACCTGGGGGGAAGAGCGCACCTGGGGGGAAGAGCGCACCTGGGGGGAAGAGCGCACCTGGGGGGAAGAGCGCACCTGGGGGGAAGAGCGCACCTGGGGGGAAGAGCGCACCTGGGGGGAAGAGCACACCTGGGGGGAAGAGCGCACCTGGGGGGAAGAGCGCACCTGGGGGGAAGAGCGCACCTGGGGGGAAGAGCGCACCTGGGGGGAAGAGCGCACCTGGGGGGAAGAGCGCACCTGGAGGGAAGAGCGCACCTGGAGGGAAGAGCGCACCTGGAGGGAAGAGCGCACCTGGGGGGAAGAGGGCACCTAGGGGGAAGAGCGCACCTGGGGGGAAGAGCACACCTGCGGGGAAGAGCGCACCTGGGGGGAAGAGCGCACCTGGGGGGAAGAGCGCACCTGGGGGGAAGAGCGCACCTGGGGGGAAGAGCGCACCTGGAGGGAAGAGCGCACCTGGGGGGAAGAGCGCACCTGGGGGGAAGAGCGCACCTGGGGGGAAGAGCGCACCTGGGGGGAAGAGCGCACCTGGGGGGAAGAGCGCACCTGGAGGGAAGAGCGCACCTGGAGGGAAGAGCGCACCTGGGGGAAGAGCGCACCTGGGGGGAAGAGCGCACCTGGGGGGAAGAGCGCACCTGGGGGGAAGAGCACACCTGCGGGGAAGAGCGCACCTGGGGGGAAGAGCGCACCTGGGGGGAAGAGCGCACCTGGGGGGAAGAGCGCACCTGGGGGGAAGAGCGCACCTGGGGGGAAGAGCGCACCTGGGGGGAAGAGCACACCTGGGGGGAAGAGCGCACCTGGAGGGAAGAGCGCACCTGGGGGGAAGAGCGCACCTGGGGGGAAGAGCGCACCTGGGGGGAAGAGCGCACCTGGGGGGAAGAGCGCACCTGGGGGGAAGAGCGCACCTGGGGGGAAGAGCGCACTTGGGGGGAAGAGCGCACCTGGGGGGAAGAGCGCACCTGGGGGGAAGAGCGCACCTGGGGGGAAGAGCGCACCTGGGGGGAAGAGCGCACCTGGGGGGAAGAGCGCACCTGGGGGGAAGAGCGCACCTGCGGGGAAGAGCGCACCTGGGGGGAAGAGCGCACCTGGGGGGAAGAGCGCACCTGGGGGGAGAGCGCACCTGGGGGGAAGAGCGCACCTGGGGGGAAGAGCGCACCTGGGGGGAAGAGCGCACCTGGGGGGAAGAGCGCACCTGGGGGGAAGAGCGCACCTGGGGGGAAGAGCGCACCTGGGGGGAAGAGCGCACCTGGGGGGAAGAGCGCACCTGGGGGAAGAGCGCACCTGGAGGGAAGAGCGCACCTGGAGGGAAGAGCGCACCTGGGGGAAGAGCGCAGCTGGGGGGAAGAGCGCAGCTGGGGGGAAGAGCGCACCTGGAGGGAAGAGCGCACCTGGAGGGAAGAGCGCACCTGGGGGGAAGAGCGCACCTGGGGGGAAGAGCGCACCTGGAGGGAAGAGCGCACCTGGAGGGAAGAGCGCACCTGGGGGGAAGAGCGCACCTGGGGGGAAGAGCGCACCTGGGGGGAAGAGCGCACCTGGAGGGAAGAGCGCACCTGGGGGGAAGAGCGCACCTGGGGGGAAGAGCGCACCTGGGGGGAAGAGCGCACCTGGGGGGAAGAGCGCACCTGGAGGGAAGAGCGCACCTGGGGGGAAGAGCGCACCTGGGGGGAAGAGCGCACCTGGGGGGAAGAGCGCACCTGGGGGGAAGAGCGCACCTGGGGGGAAGAGCGCACCTGGGGGGAAGAGCGCACGTGGGGGGAAGAGCGCACCTGGGGGGGAAGAGCGCACCTGGTGGGGAAGAGCGCACCTGGGGGGAAGAGCGCACCTGGGGGGAAAGCGCACCTGGGAGGGAAGAGCGCACCTGGGGGGAAGAGCGCACCTGGGAAGCGCACCTGGGGGGAAGAGCGCACCTGGGGGGAAGAGCGCACCTGGGGGGAAGAGCGCACCTGGAGGGAAGAGCGCACTCTGGGGGAAGAGCGCACCTGGGGGGAAGAGCGCACCTGGGAGGGAAGAGCGCACCTGGGGGGAAGAGCGCACCTGGGGGGAAGAGCGCACCTGGGGGGAAGAGCGCACCCTGGGGGGAAGAGCGCACCGTGGGGGAAGAGCGCACCTGGGGGGAAGAGCGCACCTGGGGGAAGAGCGCACCTGGGGGGAAGAGCGCACCTGGGGGGAAGAGCGCACCTGGGGGGGAAGAGCGCACCTGGGGGGAAGAGCGCACCTGGGGGGAAGAGCGCACCTGGGGGGAAGAGCGCACCTGGGGGGAAGAGCGCACCTGGGGGGAAGAGCGCACCTGGAGGGAAGAGCGCACCTGGGGGGAAGAGCGCACCTGGGGGGGAAGAGCGCACCTGGGGGGAAGAGCGCACCTGGCGGGGAAGAGCGCACCTGGGGGGAAGAGCGCACCTGGGGGGAAGAGCGCACCTGGGGGGAAGAGCGCACCTGGGGGGAAGAGCGCACCTGGGGGGAAGAGCGCACCTGGAGGGAAGAGCGCACCTGGGGGGAAGAGCGCACCTGGGGGGAAGAGCGCACCTGGGGGGAAGAGCGCACCTGGGGGGAAGAGCGCACCTGGGGGGAAGAGCGCACCTGGGGGGAAGAGCGCACCTGGGGGGAAGAGCGCACCTGGGGGAAGAGCGCACCTGGGGGAAGAGCGCACTTGGGGGGAAGAGCGCACCTGGGGGGAAGAGCGCACCTGGGGGAAGAGCGCACCTGGGGGGAAGAGCGCACCTGGGGGGAAGAGCGCACCTGGGGGGAAGAGCGCACCTGGGAGGGAAGAGCGCACCTGGAGGGAAGAGCGCACCTGGGGGGAAGAGCGCACCTGGGGGGAAGAGCGCACCTGGGGGGAAGAGCGCACCTGGGGGGAAGAGCGCACCTGGGGGAAGAGCGCACCTGGAGGGAAGAGCGCACCTGGAGGGAAGAGCGCACCTGGGGGGAAGAGCGCACCTGGGGGGAAGAGCGCACCTGGAGGGAAGAGCGCACCTAGGGGGAAGAGCGCACCTGGGGGGAAGAGCGCACCTGGGGGGAAGAGCGCACCTGGGGGGAAGAGCGCACCTGGGGGGAAGAGCGCACCTGGGGGGAAGAGCGCACCTGGGGGGAAGAGCGCACCTGGGGGGAAGAGCGCACCTGGGGGGAAGAGCGCACCTGGGGGGAAGAGCGCACCTGGGGGGAAGAGCGCACCTGGGGGGAAGAGCGCACCTGGGGGGAAGAGCGCACCTGGGGGGAAGAGCGCACCTGGGGGGAAGAGCGCACCTGGGGGGAAGAGCGCACCTGGGGGGAAGAGCGCACCTGGGGGGAAGAGCGCACCTGGGGGGAAGAGCGCACTTGGGGGGAAGAGCGCACCTGGGGAGAAGAGCGCACCTGGGGGGAAGAGCGCACCTGGGGGGAAGAGCGCACCTGGGGGGAAGAGCGCACCTGGGGGGAAGAGCGCACCTGGGGGGAAGAGCGCACCTGGGGGGAAGAGCGCACCTGGAGGGAAGAGCGCACCTGGAGGGAAGAGCGCACCTGGGGGGAAGAGCGCACCTGGGGGGAAGAGCGCACCTGGGGGAAAGAGCGCACCTGGAGGGAAGAGCGCACCTGGAGGGAAGAGCGCACCTGGGGGGAAGAGTGCACCTGGGGGGAAGAGCGCACCTGGAGGGAAGAGCGCACCTGGAGGGAAGAGCGCACCTGGGGGGAAGAGCGCACCTGGGGGGAAGAGCGCACCTGGGGGAAAGAGCGCACCTGGGGGGAAGAGCGCACCTGGGGGGAAGAGCGCACCTGGGGGGAAGAGCGCACCTGGGGGGAAGAGCGCACGCCAAAGGGCGAAAGTGACGCCCGTGTGGGGCAGCACGAAGTGCACCTTCGCCCCCCGCCCTGCCCCTGCTACCCTGCCCTCCCCCTCCCCCTGCTGCTGCTGCCCCTCGTCCGCGTCGTCCCCCCCTTCCTCGTCCTCCGACCCGGAAATGCTCGACCAGTCATCGTCCTCCTCGCCTCCCCCCTCCCCCTGCTGCTCCTCTGCTGCCCCGCCCGCCCCGCCACTCACAGCAGCGCCCACGGTATCCGCACTGCCCTGCCTGCCCCTGCGCCTTCCCCCCTCCCCCGTGCGCCTGGCGTCCAGCAGCGCGGCGAAGGCCTCCTCTGACAGCGCTGCGCGACCGCTTGCCCGGCGCTTGACCTGGTGGGGGGGGGGGGGGAGAGCGGGAGAGACGAGGAGGACACGAGAAGAGGAGGAGCAGAGGATGAGAGAAGAGGAACGAAGGAGAGGAGATTAGGGGGAGCGGAGGAGAGGAGAATTGGAGAAGAGTGGGACGGAAAGGAAAGGAGGGTGGGGTCATAGTGGCATGGAGGAATGATGGGGGCATGGGGCATGGGGGCGGGGGGCATGGGGGCGGGGGGCATGGGGGCGGGGGGCATGGGGGCGGGGGGCATGGGGGCGGGGGGCATGGGGGCGGGGGGCATGGGGGCAAGGACAAGGGGCATGGGGGCAAGGGGCAAGGGCAAGGGGGCAAGGGGGCAAGGGGCACAGCAGGGCGGCGCACGTTGAGGCGGTGCCAGTCGCTCTTGAAGTGTGCGCGCTGCTCCGCCACGTCATCAAACGCCTCCCCGCAACTCCAACACGTCAGCCCTCGCCGCTGACCGCCCAACCCGTCGCTGCCGTCACTCTCGCCCCTCCCCTCCGCGCCCTCGGAGCAGCGAACCGTGTCAGTGCGACCGCCGTCCGTCGTCTCGACGCCCGCCGCCTGCGTTTCCCCGCCAGGGCCTGGCGGAAGCGTGTCGGGGGCGGCGGAGGCGAGGAGGGCAGAGCGGAAGGGGAAGGGGCCCTTGGCGAACAGCGAAGGCGGAAGCGCTGCTCCCGCGGTGCCCTCACTGGGGGCCGCACTCGCGGCGCCGCGAAGCTGAGCGCGGCGTGAAGGCTTGCTGGACATGGCTGACACTCTCAACCTCCCAGCATGAGATCCTATGCTGCGCGCCTGCCTAGATGTTGTGGTGAGATTGCGGTACATCGCAATTATTCTTGTACCATTTTCATGTAATTTCAATATCCTCTTAGAATCCGATATCTATCTTCATATCGTGCAGCTGCTCGCTAGCATGGTTTTTTTCCCAAGTTTTTCCACTTTGTTGATGTGTTGCATTTTAGTAGTCTGCTGACACTGATGTATTTGGGTATTTTTTCGGCTGATTAGTATTTCCCTTATATCTCAGTGTAACTGTGTAAGCCACACTGATGCACTTGGGTAATGTTTTCCTTAGCTAAGATTTCCCTGAAGAGCGTACAGAGCCCCCCTCCCCACCCCACCCCCCCCCCCCCCCCCCCCCCCTTACCCCCCCCCCCCCCTCTCCCCCCCCACCACCCCACTCTCTTCCGAATCTCGAGTCTCGATCGACTTTTCGAGACGACATTTCCCGGACGTTTCGCCTCGATAACATATCTTCATAATGATGCACTACAGCGCCAGCAGCACTTGAATCGAGTGCGTCAGCCAGGTCACATGTCACCCTCGCCAACCGACACTTCCCCCCACCTCCGTGTCTACTTGCAGCCCACCCGCGTCGCTGGCCCTGTTCTCCAGGCAGGTAGCATTGGCATGGCAGCGGTATCAGTTTCTGCCGCCAGAAACTTCCCCTGCAGCTCGAAGCACTTTCCCTGTTTAGGAAATTTCGCATTTTGCCTGAGGAAAGCGGGAGCCCGTGTCAAACTATATCTGTGCTACTTCTATGTAGGCTATAGTGGTAGCCCATATGGGGTACAACCCAATATTAGGGTTAGTACTTGTACCCACAACTCATTCAATGCAACCATTCCTGCTCATTAGTTTCTTACATGGTTTCAGAGCAGTAGGTCCATAGGACCGTTTTTTCTTCGGGCCCACCATTACCTAGTAACCGACTGCGGTTACCGCGTTACCCCACGCCCTGCCCTGCGCTGCGCCGACAGCGCGCGCCCTGCCCTGCCCTGCCTTGCGCCGCGCTGCCCCGCGCACGCCCTACCCTGCCTTGCGTCGCGCTGCCCCGCGCACGCCCTGCCCTGCCTTGCGTCGCGCTGCCCCGCGCACGCCCTGCCCTGCCTTGCGTCGCGCTGCCCCGCGCACGCCCTGCCCTGCCCCGCGTCGCGCTGCCCCTCGTGTCCTGCTGCAGCTCGCGCCCTGCTGCCCTGCGCGTCGCGCCCTGCTGCAGCCCGCACGTCGCGCCTTGCTGCCTTGCGCGTCGCGCCCTGCTGCCCCGCGCGTCGCGCCCTGCTGCAGCCCGCGCGTCGCGCCCTGCTGCAGCCCGCGCGTCGCGCCCTGCTGCAGCCCACGCGTCGCGCCCTCCTGCAGCCCGCGCGCCGCGCCCTGCTGCCCGCGCGTCGCGCCCTGCTGCAGCCCGCGCGTCGCGCCCTGCTGCCCTGCACAGCGCGCGCCCTGCTGCCCGCGCCGCCCAGGCCGAGTCGCGCCGCCCAGCACGAGCCGCCCTGCCCAATCCGATCCACCCTGCTGCTGCTGCTGCTGCTGGTGGAGGTACTGCTAGGAGTACTGGAGGTGCTACAGCCTAGCCTCGCCGATCCGCTCTGCTGCTCTTACTGCTGCTGCTGCTACTCGTGCTACTGCATTCACGCCGTCCTGCCCTAGATGTCACGCTCCTCCTAGCTTGCCCGCCATGACTTCACTTCGCAACAGCAGTGGGAGTGGTGCCGGCGGTGGTGGCAGCAGTGGGAGTGGTGGCGACCGTAGTAGCAGTCACTGTGGCGCTGTTCGGTGAGGAGTTTCTGGCGGTGGCCAGATGCAGCTACAGCGGCGTCCGACCCTTACGCCCCAGCAGCTTCGTGGGTGGCTTTACCAGCGTGGGACGTCTCCGAGTCCTGGTCGCTGCCCGTACGTCATTCGCACATGTCGTCGAGCTGGTCAGACCTGTGGGACACCTGGTCACGCATAGTCCCCTGCTTCTCCTATTTGAGTGACGCCTGGCACGCAGAGTTTGGAGACGAGGCTGATATCCCCCACTGGCTTGAGCTGCTTAGGTCGGGCGTTGATGTCTTTGCTTTAGACTATGACGCCATCCTTACTGCCATGTATGCTTTGCCTGGTGGTGCTGAGGGTGACTGTTACCTGTGTGTGCAGCACGACCCCGGTATAGAGGTTACTGCTCTAGGTGCTGGTGAGGCTGCTGCCTTAGGTGCTAGCGAGTCTGCTCTCTCAGGTACTGCGCCTGCTGAGGCCTTGCACACCTTCACGCTTGACTCAGGTGCTTCCCGCTGTTTCTTTCATGACAGTACTGCACTCACACCACTCCCTGCACCTGTTGCAGTCTCTCTGGCTGACCCCTCAGGGGGCCCACTTCTTGCACGGTCCACCACTGTGCTCCCGTGCCCGGCGGTTCCGTCTGGCTCACTGTCAGGTCTCCACCTCCCCTCGTTCTCTACGAACTTGGTGAGCACTGCTGTCATCCAGGATGCGGGGGTTGACACCTTCACCCCTGGTCGGCAGCGTGTGGCGATCTGTACGTGCTCCCAGACCGGCAGCCACCTGGCCACGTTTACCCGTCGGCCAGGGTCGAGTCTTTACACACTGACGACTGCGCCTCCTCAGGTAGCTGCTACTGGTCAGGTGTCTGCGTCAGGTCAGGTAGCCTCCCCTTGTGAGTGTCGCTCCCTGTCGCACCAGACTCTTCTCTGGCACCACCGCCTGGGTCACCCCTCCTTGCCACGTCTACGTGGCATACACCGTCGCCTCCTTGTGTCTGGTCTTCCCAGGTCTCTCCCTCCCCTCCCTGCCTCGCCTGCGCCGCCCTGTCTTCCTTGCGTCGAGGGGCGGCAGCGCGCCGCTCCTCACTCCTCCTCGTTTCCCCCGACAGAGGCTCCTCTGCAGACCCTCCACCTGGACGTGTGGGGCCCAGCCCACGTTCGTGGACAGGGCGGTGAGCGGTACTTTCTGCTGGTTGTCGACGACTACTCGCGTTACACCACGGTCTTCCCCTTGCGCACCAAGGGTGAAGTCCCTGCTGTCTTGATCCCTTGGATCCGAGCGATTCGTCTCCAGCTCCGCCGCAGGTTCCGCCAGGACCTTCCTGTCCTGCGTCTGCACTCTGACAGAGGTGGTCCGACCTCTTGCGGGCTTTCTGTCAGGGGGAGGGCATCGAGCAGTCGTTCACGCTTCCGGGCTCACCGCAGCAAAATGGGGTTGCTGAGCGCCGCATTGGCTTGGTCATGGAGGTCGCTCGTACCTCCTTGATCCATGCAGCGGCTCCCCATTTTCTGTGGCCGTTTGAGGTCCGGTACGCCGCGCAGCAGCTCAACCTCTGGCCCCGTGTCTCCTTGCCGGAGACCTCGCCCACACTGCGTTGGACGGGGGAGGTTGGCGATGCGTCGCGTTTCCGGGTTTGGGGTGCTCGTGCCCTTGTCCGCGATACTTCCGCGGACAAGCTCTTCTCCCGCACCATTCCCTGTGTCTTCCTTGGCTTTGTCCCTGACGCGCATGGCTGGCAGTTTTACCACCCCACCTCGCGCCGTGTCCTGCCCTCTCAGGACGTCACCTTTGACGAGTCGGTTCCTTTCTACCGTCTCTTCCCCTACCGCACTGCCCCTCTCCCTCCCCTGCCGCTTTTCCTCGCTCCAGGTCCCCCTCAGGTAGACCCCCTCCCCCCTCAGGGTCCTGCCCCTTCAGGTGTGTCTCAGGTAGACCCACTCCCCTTGGCTGAGCCTGTAGAGGTCACTAGCGACTCAGGTGCTGCTGCGGGTGGTACTGCTCGAGGTACTGCGTCTGGGGGTGCTGAGCCTTTGCGTGAGGTGCTGGGGGGTGCGGAGCCTGGGGGTGCTGAGCCTACGAGTGCGGAGCCTGGGGGTGCTGAGTCAGAGGGTGCTGAGTCTGGGGGTCTCTCTTCACGACGGGGGCCTCTCTCACCACACCAGCTACGAGAGTGGCTGGCGTGGCGTACCCGCCTGAGGAGTCGTGCTGCTGGTGCTGGAGGTACTGCTGCTCGAGGTGCTGCGATTGGAGCTGCTGGAGCTGCTCGTCGTGGAGGCGCTGGGGGTGCTGGCGCTGAGGGTCCTGGAGGTGCTCGTACCGGAGGTACTCGAGCTGCCGGGGTCCGTGGTGCTGGAGGCACTGGAGCTGGAGAGCCGCGCGTTGGAGTTCGAGACCTTGGAGCTGGAGGTGCTGGCCCTCTAGGTGCTGGCCCAGGGGGTACTGAGTCTGTTGGTGCTGAGCCTAGGGGTGCTGAGTCTGCTGGAGGTCCTCCTGGTGCCGCGTTGCAGCGGTCACCTCTCTCGCCGCGACAGCTGCGCGAGTGGCTTGCTTCGCGCACCCGCCTTCGGAGTCGCGCGGCCGGAGCTGGAGGCACTGGAGCTGGAGGCGCTGGAGCTGGAGCCCCTGGGGCTGGAGGTGCCGGTTCTGGGGGTACTGCTGCTGGAGGCACTGGAGCTGGGGGACCTGGAGCTGGTGCTGTCGACCCTGGAGTTGGAGACCCTGGAGCTGGAGGTGCCGGTTCTGGGGGTGCTGCTGCTGGGGGCACTGGAGCTGGAGGCCCTGGAGCTGGTGCTGTCGACCATGGAGTTGGAGACCCTGGAGCTGGAGGTGCCGGTTCTGGGGGTGCTGCTGCTGGGGGCACTGGAGCTGGAGGCCCTGGAGCTGGTGCTGTCGACCCTGGAGTTGGAGACCCTGGAGCTGGAGGTGCCGGTTCTAGGGGTGCTGCTGCTGGAGGCACTGAAGCTGGGGGACCTGGAGCTGGTCCTGTCGACCCTGGAGTTGGAGACCCTGGAGCTGGAGGTGCCGGTTCTGGGGGCGCTGCTACTGGAGGTCCTGGGGCTGGAGGTTCTGGAGCTGCTGGAGGAGCTGGTGCTGCTGGTGCTCGTCCTGGAGGTGCTGGAGCTGCCGGAGCTGGTGGTGCTGCGGGCTTTGGAGCTGGAGGCGCTGGCGCTGGAGGCGCTGGAGTTGGGAGACCCTGGAGCTGG